GTCACTGGTCTCAATTGGATTGTTTTCGCTGTCAAAACGATCCTTCTCCAGTCGCTCCTCGCCCGGAGCCGACGATTTGGCTTCAGGCTCGGGAGACCCTGGGCGGGAATCCGGATTAGTAGGTTCCTTAGTCGCAGGCACCATTGGGCTGGTCTCCTTTTTACTGGCTACCACAGGCGGTTTCACCAAATCGGCGACCGGTCCACGCGTATTGGGGTTTAGCCAGCGGCGCTTAGGAGAGCTAGAGCGAGCCGGTCTGAGAGAGGAGACTCGAGAGTCGAGAGAAGTTCCGCGCGTAGCATTGCTGCGGCTACTGCTAGAGTCCCTGCCTCTGACGAAACTTGGGAACCCGACTTTGAGATCCAGCCCTGACATCACCGCGGCCATGCTCGGCAGCCGATTGGATGGTTTCTCCTGAGGTTGTTGAGCAGCATTTCGTCTGGCCGCATTGCGGTTGGCGACGCTGGGTGGCATATTGGTTGACAAATCCCAGCGGATGCTGGGACCAGACTTATGTTCCGGCTTATTTAAATGCTGCTGGTTGCTGGCGCCGTTGTTGTTGTCTCCCAGCTTTTCTTTGTCGCCTGACGCCAAGTCGGTGGATCGGGTGGGGGAGACTGAACCGTCGGATTGGACGGACCCTTTCCTCTGCGCAGAAGGCAAAGGGGGAGCGACAGAGGATGTAGTGGCGCGAGTTGGGGGAGCGGTTGTTGCAGTGGCGGGCGATGGATTGAAGGTTGTCGCGGTAGTGGTAGCGGTAGCGGAAGAGCGACGAGGAGATGAAGGCAGTGGAGAATGAGAGGAGGAATAGAGTGAATGATGTCGGACTGAAGAGGGGGGAGTCACGCCCACGCCAATACCGGCGATGGAGCCATGCCGCGGGGGTAAGAAGCCGGGACTCGGTGAGATGTCCAGCAAGCTCCGGCGCCGAGACGTCGAGGGACTCTCGCCCATCTCCTCTAGCAACTCCCGTCGCTCTTCCTCCAGAGCAGTCTCCAGCGACATGTGGGCGGGCTTTCTGCTATAGTACGGCATGGTGGGCTGTGGGGTACGACCTCGCGCTTGTCTTTGGCTTTGCGCGGGCGGGTTCCAAACACTAACCCGTGGACTAAATTATTAATGTGAATCAAATGACGAACCTAGCTAGCTTCCCAGCTTTCTGCCAGTGCCCAGCTTTGGAATGTGGAGAGGAGGGGAAATGGTCATAAGCTGCTGAGATTCCGAGCTTTGTCCCCAGGTCCTGTCCCGCTTTTAGAAACAGGTTTCTCTTATTTAAGGTTGCTGTTCCGTTGCAGGAGAGCTTTCTTACGTTGGATGCTTTATAGTTATAAGTATAGACCCAGCTGAGGTTCAGATAGGATCTTGAGGAGCACGCGACAATGATGGAGCTGGATGGAGACCGGAACTCCACGTGCGCAACGGCTGCAACTCAACGGCGATCCTCACTCAGAGCGTTTCTACCTCGGATGATACCGAAGAGAAGAAAGGCTGGCGTCTGGCCAGCAAGCCGACGGAGAGGAGACAAAGTAGCTCGGATGCCTCCGTGGACGGTGAACAAGTGTGAAGGGAGATGAAGAAGGATAGGGTAGCTTCACCCAGCTGTGTGGGGAGAGGATGAAGAAGAAGAAGAAGAAGAGGAAGAAGGAGGAAGGCGAGACGACCAAGTTGGAACAAGCCAAGGCGTCCAAAAGCTCGGCATGGCGGGGTATCACGAACAATCAGCGAGCAGCTGGCTGATCCTTATAAAGCAACGAAGCACAATCAATCATGGTGACCCAGGTGGTGCAAGGTGCCACCAACCGGTGATGAGCATCCCTTGCATTGACCCTCCCCCAGGGCTTGATGCCGGCGATCATCCTGGGGAGGATCGGTTGGCTGGGAGAGAGAGTGTGAGTGTGTGTGCTGTTAGTCTCACACTTTCACTCCTGCCTGGATGCAGCTGGAATGCGAACCCATCGATTCTTCACCAATCGAGGTGGACCTGTGTACGCAGGATGCAGTAGACCGGCTGCTTAATTATGCTGGAGGTGAGGTGTTTGTTCCTTCAATCACGGCCGAAGCTGTCATGGTCACGTTCTCTCCTTTGCCCCCTTCAGCACCTCCTTCCCAATTACTAGCGGTCAACAAGGTATGCCTGTTTTATTACTGCCAGCACTACTACTTATGTATTGGACACTCAATGGTAGCAATGTGCAGAAGTCAAGATAAAATCCCAGTGTAGAAAAAAGCAAAAGCAAAACAAAAGCAATGCACTCCCATGCCTGATTGCCAAATCACTCAATGTACCATGCCGCGAATGGATGTGTCCCTACATGACCTGAACTCCCCAACCCCAAAGACTGCACTAGTTGTGATAAAGAAAAGAGAAAAATAACGCATGAAAGACAGTCCACCCAAAGATAACACACCTCACCCCTTGGTCCTCTTCTGCCTCTTCTTCTCCCCACGCGCAGCCATTTCTTCGAATGCCGATTCAGGAGGACTCGACTTCCGCTTCTTCCTTGTCTTCTTGGTCTTGCTCGGCCCCGGCCCCAGCTCATTAAGCTCACTATCCTTGTTATACTTCTCCTCCAACCGATTGATGAGGTTGTCAAGACGGCCAAGGTTCCGCTGTTTAATCATCGCAGCCAAGTCACCCACGTCCTCGGGTCCATCCTCCTTCTTCCTCCCTCCCTTGTTCTTCCTACCCGTCTTAGACTTGTTCTCCTCCATCTCCTTGCTCACTTGTTCCGCCTCCTTCGCTTCCTTCTGTGCCCGCTTCAACCTGGCCTGACGCTTCTTGACCGGCTCCTCCGTGTATTTCTTGTACTTCCCGGCCCTTCCTTCCGCAATAGCCAAGTCAATGATGGCGCGGAATCGCTCATCATCATCAATGACATTACACAGCATCACAGAGTCGTAGATTTTATCCAGATCGCCCCGGTGGACTTCATAGGCCTGCAGTATATCCTTGACCTCTTCCTCAGACCCCTGGTATTCCTTCTTGAGCTTGTCGATCGCATCGACATCGACGGCGGTGGCGAATTGCTCCCGGTAGAACTCCGTCCAGTCGAAATCCTCATCTTCGTCCAAGGCGTCCTCCGTACTACCGGTCTTATCGAATCTCGCGCGGCGACGTTCATCAGAAAGGACGGCGTAAGCGAAGGCGATTTTCTGGAATTTGCTGTTCGCTTCTTCTTTCTTGCTCGGGGGTGCCTTGTCTGTTACTGATGATTAGACAGCCCATCCCACACAAGTGATAGCTAGATAAGAGATATAGTAAAAGTATATACGTACCAGGATGATGCTTCAGCGCCTTCTTCTTATAAGCAGCCCTGATCTGGTCTTGAGTCGCCTGGTCATCGAGACCGAGAACCTCATACAAATCAAGAACTCTGCGCCGGGGTATGATTATTTGACCGTTTTCATCGCGTTCGACCGGTTCCCGCTTTTCCTTCTCTTCCTCTGAAAAAGGCCCCTCTGGATCCTCCCCAACTTTCCATTTGTAGCGGTGGAGGGGGTTTGTGATAGGCATCTGACCAAGAGACCAAAAAGGTCCAAGTAAGTGATGAGAAAAGAAAAGAAAAGGGGAGATGTATCCGTCAAGAAACAAAATCAAACCAGAAGCGCTGAAAAGTAGCTGAGGTAGAAGACATAACACCTCGGCCGTGAATGTTCGCGCGCAACGCAATAAAATCAAACGAGACAAACACCCCAAAACGCGCGGGACGCGAATCCCACTTATCTTTCCTAAAGAAGTTTAGCCGCGAACAGCCGGCATCAATCGATAACCTAACTTACAGTATCAGATAGTATTCTATGCGGTCATACTCTTAACCACCCCCCACTCATACTAACTATCACATAAATAACTCTTCTTCCCCTTCTCTACACACAGCACACACATACACATTTTACAGCAATCCAACACAAGCACCACCAAAAATGACCACAGACTCCTCCTCCAAGGCGGGAACCCCCAGCACCCCCCACCTCACCTACATGACCCAATGCCTCGCGCTCGCACGCAAAGCCCCCGCCCTCCCAACCAACTTCCGCGTCGGCGCTCTCCTCCTCAGCCGAAGCAAAGCCGACACCACCCCCAGCTACACCTCCGACATCCTGCTCTCAACCGGCTATACAATGGAACTAGCCGGCAACACGCACGCCGAACAATGCTGTCTATCCAACTACGCCGCCGTGCACGGCGTACCTGACGAGGAAGTGCACACTGTCCTCCCCCACGACGACCCTGAACGGAAATTAGTCATGTACGTGACTATGGAACCCTGCGGGAAGAGACTCTCGGGCAATGCGCCGTGCGTGGAGCGGATCATCAAGACGAGACAGGGTGGGGAGGGACGGGGAATACAGAAGGTGTATTTTGGGGTGAAGGAGCCGGGTACGTTTGTGGGGCAGTCGGAGGGGGTGAGGAGGTTGGAGGAGGCGGGTGTCGAGTGGGAGGTTGTGCCGGGCTTGGAGAGGGAGATTTTGGAGGTGGCGGTTGAGGGTCATGAGAGGGAGAAGAGGGAGGAGGTCGTGGGGAGGGCGTTGGAGGGGGTCAAGACGGATTTGGATAATGTTAGTGAGGAGGAGAGGAGGAGGCAGGAGAGACAGCCGAGGAATCCTATGAAGAGGATGATGGAGGGGGAGACTATGATGTGAATTTTTCTTTTCTTTGTGGGGGTTGGTTGGTTGTATACTACGTAGGGTTGGGATGGGGTGGTGGGCGTGGGCGTGGGGGTTGAGTTGATGCCGCTGGCGGTATTCTTGTCTTGTCTTGTCTGGGTTGGGGTATAGATGTGTATAGTGGGTGAAGGCTAAGGTGCATAGTATTTATGGCTTAAAAGGTGATATGTACAAAGCTAGAGTCCCAATGGAAATTGAAGGACTAGTTACGAGTTCGAAAAATTTGTGGAAGTGGAATGCAGCTTGGATAGAATGGAGTATCATTGGCATGCTGGACATGCTTCTGTCCTTGAACCCTACTCCCTCACAGCACGAGGTAGTAGATCGGTATTATTGTGTCTAATGTACCTGTCTAAGCTCCCTTCAGAGGATCACCGCTTTTTCTGTAATCGGTATCGGAGATAGCGACGGGACTGCTATCCCATATGGTCCACTCTTGCGGTGGTGCGCGGGTATCATGCCCTCCATGGTTCTATCCACAACTTAGGCAATATTTTCAGTCACATATCGACCAATCGATCAGCCCACCTGAACTCCCTCAAGACCCTCAAGGACCTCTTCACCAACACCTCCCTTCTGCAAGACCAACTTGAGCATCTTTGCAATCGTGCGCCGCTTGACACCGCCCCGTCGGGGTCTCCAAACGCCGGCAACCTCTTCGCCAGTAGACGGGTCCGTCATGGCGGCCTCTTCCGCAGCGGCCGTGGAGCCCAGAGTTGCCACGTTCTCCGAGTTCGATACACCCGGCTGCGTAAGACGAGACGGGGGGTCGACTGTGCGAATAGAAAGCAGTTTCAGGCCATCCGAGTCACTATCCTGGGTGACAGAAACAGCCAGGACCGTATCCGCAACCGCAATCTCCTCCCTGTTAGGATCAAAGATGACATTATCGCCGACAGAAATAACGAGCAGCGTCACAGGAGGCCGGACCTGCTTCGTAGAAGAAAGACGAGGCCCCGACTGCGAGCGAGGGTATAGATATTCAGCGGCATTCCAATCATCATCGAAGAAGGGGTCTTCCTCTCCCTTAGACTTGAGCTTAGGCAGCTTAGTCGACAAAAGAGCCAAATGAGTCGTCAAAGACAGCAACGGCAACGGGTACGACAAAGGCTGCGACAGCAGCAGCACCTGCACAAACATCATTAGCACCATTCACCCCTCCTACCTCCCCCCTCCCTCTAGAAAAAAAAAAAACTCACATCAATATACAACCTCCAATGCCACCTCTTATTAATAACCAACCTCCCCTTCAAGCCACCCGCCATCTCATCCCCACCCACCCCATCACCAGAACCAGCAACCGACTCAACAAGCGGCTCGCGCATCATCTCCGACAAGAAAACGGGGAGGGCATCATCATCCCGAAACCCGGGGATCTCAATAGACATCTGCACCCACGATCCATGACCATGACTGGAGGTTTTCTGGCCCTCTCCGCCTTCATTATCGGCATAATCTTCTTGCGTTTGCTGTTGCGATAGGTTCAGCGCCTCGGCTGCAACAACGGTCTTTTCCACCTCCGCTTTCACTCCCACGATGGCTTGCGTGCCGTCAGCGAACCCCACGCGCGCGCTACCGTTGGTGCCCGGCAGAATATCTGTTTCTGCGGTCAACGGGCGGAATTGGGTAGGCGAGCGGCCGTCGGGGCGGATGGGGCCATCGGGGAGTGATAGTGATGTGTAGAGGTAGGAAAGCTCTGCTGGGGAGATGAGGGGCGTTTGGGAGGCGGAGGAGGCCTGGCGTTGGGCGGTCATTTTGTGTGTTTGTTGTTATGGATTTTGAGGTGAAGATGGTGGAGATTATATTGGCAGGTCGATTGGTAGCCTGCGATTTTGCGGGAATTGGTGCAAGTCTTGCGCGGAGGGATGGCTGACGGTAAATGGTACCGCGCGGGGTTTGCTAGCGGTAGAATGAGGCTTCAATTGTGGTGCCTTCACTTGTAGGGCGCTCTGGATCAAGCCACTCACGCCAATATCGAACTTCTGAACAGTGTCGCGACAAATCCAGTCTCGATGGGAACTTTTGACGTAGTGCTGCATTGGGAAATTCTGCCGGTGGGCGGGGAATGGTTGTTCCGTGACTATTGCCGGTACCCAAGTTGCATGCATACAACAGGAGAGCATTTGATAGCATCACAACTCTCCAAGCTTAATTACTAGTTTTACAAAATCAATTGAAATCTGAATGACAAGTATGTTGACAGACAGTGTCTGTTCCATTAACAGTAGATATAAACAGACGGCTCTCCCGTCGGGTAAGTGCTATATTACAAAATTGTTCAAGCCCAGAACCAGCCACCAGTGCTCCTTCCCAAAAAGTGGTAAAATTGTACAATAGATGAATGGAAGTTCTTTTGTTCTTGTGGAGGAAGCTTTTACATCGCTTCCCATCCGCGCATTGAGACAGAAAGGAATGAGGGGGGTAAAGAGAAAAGAATGATGAGGGAGGATCAATGCCCGGGAAATATACAGAGGGGTGAAGGGAGTTTGACAAAAGGAAATGGTCGACTGCAGGGGTCAGGGCATATGCGGGGAGTTGAGTATGCAGGTGTTAAGAGTATATATCGAAGGAATGATAGCAGACATTGCGACTCGCGCGATTGGTATCAGTGCAAACAGATGAGCAATGTGCAGGGGATGTTAGGATATCAAGGAACGAAAGACATATATGCAAGTGGTATACCGAAAACAAGGTGCGAGGCCGACGGTATCTATAGAAGGGCCTTTGGGGTATGAAAACAGAACCAGACAAATGAAAGAAACCCGGGCTGAACCATGGCCTATACAAACATGGGTACAAATCAAAGCGCAGGATACATAAGAACAAAGAGACAATGAAATGCGAGAAAATGAGAAAAGATAAAAAAGCGGCCAACCTCCGTGGATAAAAGAAACAGTAGACACCAGATCCCATACGCCTTGCTCGGTTAATTCGCCGATTCCGCGCGTGACCACCACGTTTTTGTTCTTTTGATTAAATATGAACAAGATCTGTGAAAGATGATGAAGAAATGAAAAGAGTTGTGCCTTCTCCAACATGGAGAAGCTAACGACAAGTTGCTGAGCCCGTCAGGAACTTTGCCGGAGCTGGCTTCGCCCAGTCACCATCTTCATATGGAGGGGTTGGCCATTGGCGACTGGTGTTTGCGTCCGTCTTCTCCTCCGCGAGGGGCAGGCGTCTGCATGGCGTTGCGTCTGAGTGACCGAAGCAGACGCCATCGCACTTGGCGGATGGGGAGGGAGTAGGATAAGGACTGGGCAGGGGGCGAGAGCCGTCGTTACCCACGGCTGGGCGACTGTAGTTCGACGAAACTTCCGATGACACTTCGGTCTGTGCCAAACGCCTAGCAGCCCTGCTCGCCGAATGCAAGACCTCATCCAGCAGCTCGTCCTCCTCTTCAGGAGTCTCATAGCGGTGGATAGGGTTGTTCGACATCTGCATTGCGCGCCTAGTCCGGCTGGAGATTGGCCCGCCAGTGCCGCTGGTCGAGACAGGGCTTTCTCCCATCGAGCGGATCGAGCCCTGCGGCATAGATTGGCGCTTGGTACTCTCGATAGGGGAGGTGATTTGCACGGGAACATTGCCAAGGGCGGCCGAGTCAAGCGAATGTTTCACAGTCTGGAGCGCCTTGTCCAGCTCCGAGAGATCGGAACCCTGCTTGGACTCTCCAACGTTGTTGACAGAGTCCAAAGCCAGAGAGGACCGGTTCGACCAAGGCATGCAGCCAGCGTTAGCCTCAACATCGTCAGTACCAGAGTTGGCCTGGTTGCGACCGGATAGTCTGCGAGCGCGCTTGCGGAGGTGCGAGAAGAAGCTCTCCTTGGGGGTCACTGCGGAATACACGGTGCCCCCGCCATTGAGCGCTCTCTCTGCTTCTTGGCGGTGGATATCAGCGTAGTGATTACCGTGCGAGTTGACAGAAAGCTGTCTGCCAATCTTCTTGCTCGCCTTGCTGGCGTTGGCACTGTCGCCTGAATGGGCGAGAGACGAATTGGCTTGCGCTGTGACCGCATTAGAGAGAGGAGAGACTGGCCTAATCGAGGGCAGAATAGGCATTGGAGCCCCATTAGCCCAAGTGGCACGCTTACTGGCCGCCGGCTTGCTCTTCCCAGCCTGAAGGTCCGAATAAGCCACCGATTGCTTTGAGGAGTTCTCACTCTCCACAGGTGGCACCGGGCTTTCCGACCTGCCGATCAAGGACCTCCGGAACCACGACGACTTGTATGACAAGGTCGAAGATTCACTCGCATCACGATTGGCGGACTTGAAGCTCTTGTCCGATTGCTTCCGGCCCAAAAGGCGAGCTGTGGAAGACTTGGGTCTCAATGGGTCAATGGCATCAGCAAAGTACTCGTGGTTGAGGGCTTGTGTCGAAGTCGGTCTATTCTTAGGATCCCACATCAAACACCACGTGACGAACTGGCTAAGAGCGGCGGGCCACTGGGGCGCCTGAAGGATGCTTTCCATGGAATGGGGCGCCATCTACGTTTCATTAGTAATCGCCTCGTACCGCGGGTAGCGCAGGGTAATCTTACCTTCGGGAACGTAAATCCCAGCTTCTGGGCAAGACGCGAGCCCTCTCTCCACTCACCACCTCCGAGCTTAGCCCCCGACTTACTGTACCAGTTACCCGGGCTTCCCATAATCTCACAAACACGCCAGACCTGATCGACTTCGTTTCCACCAGGGAACAGTGGCTTCAGGGTAGCAATCTCGACCGCCATGGCGCCGATAGCCCACATGTCCACCGGTGCTGAGTATTCTCCTGCACGCAGGAGAACTTCAGGCGCCCGATACCATCTGGTAGAGACATATGTCGTGTAGGGGAGCTTGGAGTGAGTCTCTCTGGCGAGACCAAAGTCGGCGATCTTCACAGTATATGTCGGGGGAGTAGAAGGAGGGGTGACGAGGTTAGAGTAACGGCTGAAAGCAGAGTCGTTGGGGGCGGATGTCGAGACGAGGATGTTTTCGGGTTTGATGTCGCGATGGAAGAAGTGATGGGCATGAATATGGTCGAGACCGCCCAAGATTTGGTAAAGGATGCTCTTGACATGCTTGCCATCGAGGGGCTTGTGATCCCGGGCTTTCATTAATTGGTAAAGGTTGCCATCCATATACTCCATGCAGATGTGTAGTTTGCGTGAGAGCGGGTCGAGGAAGATATCGAGGGCTGGAACAAGGTGGGGATGGGGAGGCAGGGATCGCAGGAAGATGACTTCACGGAGTTCGAGGCAGGGAGCCAATGACTCGAAGGTCTTCTTCATCGTCTTGATGGCAACCTAGAAACAGGACTTAGCAACCCCAGCGAAGAAGAGCGTCAAGAGGGCTTGCGATAACATACCATTGTCCCCCTCCGTGCAACATTGGAACCAGCAGTCCGCACACGTGCGACTGCCACGCTACCAAAGCTGCCATCACCCACTTCCTTGAGGACCTCGAACCTGTCTTCGAGGCTGGCGACTGAAGTGGGTGCAGCGCCCCGTGATAAGGAGTGGTGGTCGTAGCAGACAGTCATTGTGTCTCTTTCTCCCTTCTCTTCTCTGCCAGCAGAAAATCCAAGAGAACTTTGTGCAGCGTTGAGGGGCCTGGATTAAGAGGTAAGGAATGTGTAGAGGAAGTACACGGCTCTTCCAGTTTGAGTGTGTCGGGAATGTCGATAGGTAGGATCAGGTGCGCATCATTCGCAGTCAGGCAATGTGATATCCACGGGGAGTGTTGTGGTGCTTTCCCATGGGTAGGTATGGGTGAAGGTGCAGGATGCGATAAGGATTAGGTGCAGAAGAGATTCGGGACGAAATTGGGACCCAGAGAAGAGGGGAAAGGGGTAGTCATGTAGTTCTCAGGAAAGAAGCGAAGGTGGAGGAGAGGGAAGATCTGGAAACCAGATGGAAGACCCAGAGGATTGGACGTGATCACTGTAGTGATAGGAGCGGATCCGGATGGGTGGACACAGACTAAACGAAAGGATGATCGGAGGCCGCCTTGGACAGAGAGGGGAGGGGGGTTGTTGTGGTGGTGGTGGTGGTGGTGGTGGTGGTGGGAGGGAGGAGGGAAAAGAGTAATTAGTTAGTACGGAGTAGGAAAGGGAATAACTCGACAAGCCCCTGACGCGGTGACAGCTTTAGCCTTTACCAGCTCCAAGACGAAGAGGAGAAGTTGGGTCCGGGCCGTGGGGACTGAAGAGGCGGTCGACGACGAAGCGGGTTTGGTGAAAAAGGCGATGGTGCAGATCCGAAATAAAATAATATAAATTATAAAAATAATAATTATGCTTCCAAAGAATAAAATGATGCAGGTGGGTTTTTATTTTTTTTTTTTTTATTGAGGGGTTAAAAAAGGACTGAACCGGAGGGACGGCCAGTGGATGACATGGACCCAAATGGTCGAATTGTTTTTTCCCTTAGGAATTGACGGCAGATGCACGACAGAGAGAATGTGATGATCATGCAGAGTTCTTGTTGTTGTGGTTCTCCATTTGAGGTTGGGGGAACGACGGCGAAGGGGGAGGGGGGGAAGGGTGGGCGAGTGGCAGAAAAGAAGGCAACAATTGAGGTGTTAATATGAGGGCCGAACGGTGACGCGAGTGGTCCAGCGAGAAAGAGACGCGAAAGAAAGGCCGGAGTAGCAAGCCTAGAGAGGCAAGATTACCTAGTAATTCAAACAGGACGGACCTCAACTTGAGTCTGAACTACTAACCAGTTCACTTGCTTCTAACTACTTTTCTACTAAACCCAAGCTACCAAGCGCCTAGTAATATTAACCCTCTCTGGCCATTCGCTCCAGTCTCCGTATTAGCCCGGCCACTAAGGTATCCGCGCGAAATCGGACTCCGTAATCGTCCTTGGGAAAAAGAGAGAGAGTCATTCATTCATACCGACTGAATTCGTATTATTACTTAGCTACTAATAATAATACCCATGAATAATGTGGTCAACGCCATACCATGCTGCGTTTAGCGGACTTTTCCTCCACCGGACTAGTCCCGACCACTTGGTCACTGAGAGAGGAATGGTCGAGGAACGGAGACCCACCCTTTTCACCCAAGGAATCCGAAAAGGAGGTTCAGGGAGTTTCCAAACTTACCATACACGGGCGGCCCAAAGAAGGGGGGGGAAAGAACCCTCGAAGGCGGCACCTGGCGGTTCGGGTTCATGGTACATTACCGAAAAGGTCAAGACGAAAACATGGAAATGCACCACAATAACTTATCCCCGCGGCTAAGATGGAGAAATCTTGGGACAACGATCGTTTGGAACATGCTTGCGGAGTCCATACAGTCAAGGAGAGAGCAGTGATGAGGAAACACCCAGTTCTGAAGTCTACACCTTTGGGAGGAGCAGGAAAAGAGAAAGGAATAGATCCGTCGTTCTATCGAAATCCCCCAACTCAAAGAAGGAAAGAGACGAAAAAAATAGGTGATTACTTTTTTCTTTCCCCTCAGATTGACTGTTCATTAGGGTAGGTTTCGGGGTTTACGGTTTGTTTGTTTTGAAGAGCCCCCGGTCCACGAAGAATGCCGTAAATTACTGTCTTCCAATTACCGACATTTCGAACGGAAAGTCCCATGAATTCCACGAATGATTCTCACAGCTTTTGAGCTGAGTATTGCTTGCTGGCTACTCCCTTAAGCAAAAGTAAGTACTTTGCGTAGGGCAGCTTGCTTACTTGCCCATGAAGCGAGATCCCATATGTTGAAGTATTAGACACAGCAATCTTGATCAGTGTGATCCGTGGTAGTGTTTCCAACCAATCGCCTCCATCCAGATGTATCTTCCGAGGTACTTTGCCTATGTTGACTAGGTGATGATAGTGAATCACAGTGTCTCTCCCGTTCAGACGGAGACTACTACAGACCAGTGGTGTCATATCTTTACATTACATTTGAATCGGGACACACCCCCGATTCTTTCTTAAAAGAGTTGTCATTCTTGACTATATCGAAATTATGTGGCGCAACTGTCGTCGTTTGAGCCCATGCCGGGGCAAATGAGATTCATCGCGAAGTGAAAGGATCTAACAAAGTTCGGTCTAAGATGAGGTGTAGAAAACAGTTTAGACTGTTCAAAAAATCCCGTCTTTGAGATTTGGAGGAAGAGCAGACTTTCTCACTTTCAAAGAGATCGAAATGAAAAACGGCCTGGGAGGAGCCTTAGGTACTTCATGCGACCAGTCATCATCACACGTCGCTTTGAAGACTCTGGACTCTGGCGAGGTCCAGCCTTAATCGACTCCACTTAGTCTCCGCCTCTAGTAATCGTTAGACGGGCGCTAGCAAGGTTGGCCAGGGGTTGGGCCGCGTCTCTCTTGCTTCAACCTGGGTTGCAACCTTTTCCCAGAGTGATGCGACTTGCTGCTCGGCCATCCCACTCAGGGTCTCGGATAATCATGACACTCTAGACTCTCCAGCGAATGTGACAGGTAGTGCTCCCTACACCCTAAACCGTGACGGTTGTACGGGGGTTTCGCCTCGTATAATCCATCATTCAGGGGTCGCATGTGATACCCGCATTACCTCATCTACAGCATCACCCCAGAGGGTGGAAAGAGAAGGGAAAAAATTAAAAAGAAAATAAGACGAGCTGCATCAAAAACCCAGATTTGAGTTAAGATTACGGCGCAGGCTATCCTTGCCGATAATATATGAGCGTAAAATAGCTTGCCAGCCGAGGAATCATAACTCACTACTAATGCCTGTTCTGGGGCTTTGTTAGTCTACTAGTTAAGTAAGTAGCTCAAAGTTGCTAGTTGCTGACTTCCGAGTTAGATAGAGAGAGGTCAGCCGGGGGATCCACAGGACAAGGAAAAGAGAAGATACTCCAGGCAGTGGGCAGTTTTACAGTTCATGCAGGTTGTTATCTGGATCCATTATTATTGATAGTTCATCTGTTGTCTTGAACAATGGATCCAGCCAACAGTGGCTGGACATGTATCCATCCCCCGTACATCCGTCGCCTGCCTGCCCCCCCTCCCCCTCTTTATTATGCTTAGGTGGCTGACCGCCAGCATGGCAACACTTACAGTAAGTTAGTTGGAATACCCACAGGCTGCAACGACTGATCTTCAAATCGAGCCTGGAAACTGTTTTGCCATCTGCCGGTACTACATCGATAGAGATGTGGCTTGCATGTCTGCCCCTCCGGGTATGCTGGTCCCGTCTTTCTTGGGTAATCTACATGTGTAACACTTTTCCGAGGGTTGAAACGGTAAGGATTGCTTGGTCGAAAGTTGATAGATTCATCAACAGCGGGAGATGGCCGAAGGAAAAGCGTCGCTGTTTCATCGATACTATTGGTGCTTCAGCTGACTGACAGAAAGAGAGGATGACAAAAGGAAAGAAAAAAGAGAAAAAAATTTTCGTAGTAGTGTGAGAGAAAGTACTGTTACCCGGAAAAAGAAGGAACAACAGTAAGACGCTGTACTACCATGTTGTCCGAGGGAAAGGCAGGATGCCTTGTTCCAATCATCCACAGAGGTCTCCGCTACCCGCGCTTGACGTCTACAAGGTTTAAGACAATTCCAGGTGCTTTAAGAAAATAACTCAGCTCCATGGCAATCAACATATATGAGACGATTGTGAGTACTATGTTTCTGAAGGTTACGCGTTGCCACATTCTGGAGCTGAGGGTTGTCTCGAACTATCGGGTCAGTATGGATATGTCTTCGGAGTACCATGGACCGCATACTCCGTGCGCTGAATCACGTAGAAGCTCCAACTATTCAAGCCATCAAAGTCCCCAAAGATTTGCATTGTGCTTAGAGCGCGATATTCCACTGAGGGGCTACCCCATAGGGATAGAGGGCGATACTCTCAGCGGTACTTCCTTACGAACTGATGCATACATTATGCACATGTATGGCTGCTGCTGAATCCTTCTGGATGTATAGACTTCATACATCAAGCGAAGTTGATCAGCTGTAGCTAAGCCTGTGCATCTGCGAGATCAGATCCAGGACACAGACTGGTGCACTGTAGAAAGTACGGGGCACATCAAGTACGCAACACGGCCATTGCTTGTGTAGGACAGCTGTTACCACAGTTACCGATTCCTATATTTCTTTTTCCTTTTTCTCTTTTTTACATGCAAAGAGTTCAGTTCGCCACTGGATACACCAATTCTTGAGACGAGGGAACCGCAGAGAGACTCATTTACCAGGCCTTTTCCGTTTTACCCTTGCAATGTGGGGTGATCATAGCCGATCTTATGATAAGATGTCATCGCTGGGAACTTTGATGACGGAGAGGATCATCAACCCTCACAGACGGCATTAGTAGGCGGGCATAATGGCCAAACTTTGAACCGGCAATGCTCCAATGCACTACATACTCAAAGCAGCATAGATAGTGGCTTCATTGGCGTGATCATTTCCCATATACAGTAGTACTGTTATGCACGGAGTCGGGTGTCCTTCTTGATAGGAAGATATGGGGATTTCCATTCCTGTTACGGTGGCGGGTGATGGGTCATGGACGGAGAAGCCATGTCTTGAAGTTGATCAAGTCTGGAGCCGAGACGCGTATGATCAGCTACACCGCACCTACGACCTGTGTACTGTTTACACTCGTTATTAAGATCCGGTTTTGATGACAGGCCATACAGATGCCAAAAAAAGGGGTCTAGAGATGGATTGGTCACCGCTTGTGTCACTTGACCGGTGACAGGCTTCAATAAACCACTCGGTGGGAACGGCGAAGAATGGAGACTGTCAGTCACCGTCTTTTTGAGGTCCATAGCAGTATCCTCTCTCCCTCTCTTCTTTGGTGTTCTTCTTGTTTCTTCTTTTCCATTCATGAATGATGAGAGAGGAGGGGAAGGGATGTATGCTTTGGGGAGAAAGAAGAAAACATTGAGGGGTTTGTGTTCTCCATACACAGTAAATGAGGACTGTGCGATGCTATGGTGGGCCAACCAACCAACCACTCGAGAAAATCACGACTCGTAATCTTGCCGGCATGACATCTGCTTCCCCCCCCATTAATGGTCTTTGCTCTTCTTGCCACGGAGTGTCTTCCTCCCGCTACCTGGGCTACGCGAATATTGTTTATTTACTTCTCCATCTGTTTTGGTGTCTCCTTGGGTGGTATCATGCCATTTGGACTGTTAATTTACATAATCATGATTTAACCACAATAATCGCGGCTGCTCTTCCAATAGAGAGAAGGCTACCCGACATTAGGCCAAAGTGACAACCACCACCACCACAACAACTAACAACTACAAAGACAGAAAAGAGTTTGTGCGTGGGATTTGAAAAAGAGGGGGAAAAGCCAATGATTGCAATTTCTTGGAAAGTTTCGGGCACCAGCGCAGAAAGGGAAGGGTGGGTGACTGGTACCGGAGTCCTAGACGACTGGCTGATGGGCCTCCACCCCCAAAACGGATAGATCAGAGGGTCGGAAGACGTGGTTCTCATGGAACCAACGGGTTTAGTCGACCGCCGGCCGTCTGAGTTACCAGCCAAGGGTGATTGGGAAGACCCAACAGTGGAGCCGCTTCATTCGAATGAGTGGATGAAAGGCATTTCGCAAGCGGATACCGTGGACCTGCTGATTGCGCCGGGGCAGTCGGGGAATGCGGGTCCCCACTCGGCGTGAGGCCCGTCCCCGCTACCCGACAGACCCGGCTATGGATCTAGTTCTCTAGTCAGCCAGTAGTCGTTGCGTCCGGCGAGATGGTGAGGATTACGATGGAGTTCCCAAACGCATCCGTTACCAACAAATGGATCTCTTGGGTGTCTCGCGGCCCAGTTGACCTATCTCGCTAGCAGCTCCGCTGCTCCTTAGGGATCTCTTAGCCCGGCTACTATGTCAGTAGCTTTCGAAGCCGGCTCATTCCAAGAGCGTTCCAGAAGGATGAAGGACGTTCATGGAATCGACGAAGAAGGAGATCAGGAGACGAAAATCTCGCAATTACCTTCTCTAGGCAAAGAAGCTCATCGTGAGCGGCACCCCCGTCGGCTTTGCCGCTTGAGTTGACCGTTGGAGCGGAATAACTATGGGTAATAATATTGAGAGTGGCTCTCTATCGTCGACGGACTACGGAACGCCATGGAGGATCAACAAAGAATTCCCTGCAGGTAAAGCCGACTAAAGACCTTCTGGAACGCCACTAAGGATTCCACATTATTAATTCTCAATTGCCCCAGTCCATGACTTTCTTCGGGGGGGGTGATCAAAAGTACCTACGAGCTTAGGCAGGTACAGGATGTGCTTGCATCAGGATGTGCGTTCTCCAGATGGATACCTCTGCCCAGTTTCTGCTCTTACTCACATGGGTGCCACCTTTCAGTGGGTGCGCTGTGTCTACTCGACTGTGTACAGACCCTCCTGTTGATCAGTCCCATCTAGCAAAGACAAATTTTATCAAGGCTGGCCAATCGTGATGTGAGTCAGGCTTGTGTTGACCCTGACGAAACATGATTGCTGGATTAGCCGGCTGGACTTGCAGTAGTCTCAGGGTGTCTGCATTCCCGCATGCCAGATCTACCCTTTCCCCTCTTTTTGGCTCCCATTTTCCAATTTCTCCGACGCGGTGTGCAGAAAGCTGTGTAGATCGATGAGAATCCTACTAGGATATCGGAGGACTGTGAAGAGAGTCCGATGAGAATGTAATCTCGCTTCAGATATGATGCATCTCAGTCAGCCTATGAAGAGGCGGGGAAGGCAGATATACCAGCGGAATTGACTGACTTTTCAGCTCACTTCATTCAAGTGTTCATAATTCCTTTTCTTCCCCTTATCTTTGGGATCTGTGCAGTTAGTGCATGCTACGTCATTGTTCTCAGCTTCATTCTCACATTGGTTAACATACTTCGTAGTGGTTCGTGACTCCAAGATACTTTCAGCTGAAGCCAAGTAGTGAGGGTAGCCAGGAGAGTAACAATATGTGCCCGCCGAGCTGATGCGAAACAAGCCACCAGCAGTGCAAACGAGCACACAAAAGCGCCGAGACATGCGTTTGACACTAAGCAGACCGTTTGCAAGACATTTCATCTTAGACCAACGTCGAGCTATCTGTATGACACTATCATGAGAATCAACCTCTGAGAGGCAGACGCGAGTTTTTGACCTGCCCAACTTGGAAAATGACGATTTCCAGTGCAAAATGAGGGGAACATGGCGTTTTCCGTGCTCAACAATACCATCAGCCTCAGGTATTGACTTCTTCTTCGGACGGAACTTACCACTCAGGCTTCATGATATTGTCATGAGCCACCAGCATTACTTTCCCCTTCACAAAGTGTCACGCGTCACTAACTGGTGGCTGGCGCCTAGATGCTTATCGAATACCTTCGCAGGCAGTTTCCTCCGTCTTCATTCACCGTCTCACTAACACTGTTCACTGGAGCTTACGTTGCCTGGGCAGGAAGGATGCCATAGTGATAGATCCTGCTGAGAGCCTATAAAGTCGCCTGGAAATTGTTTACTTTGTTTCTCCTTCGTTCTATCTCGCGTCTTCGACTTCGTGGCTGGTATCTAGCTGATCTGACGCAACTTCATCATCGTCCTACTGATAGTCGTTCCCCCCGGATAGCTCTCACCATGGGGCCGTCCAGACGAGCCAACGTGGTTCCGAACGCCTTTGCCGGTGGCTATAGCCAGACAGTCAAAAATCGGTCAGTCTCTGCTAGACACGCTTCAGATCGGTCTGGCTGACTATACTATAGGCTTGACAAGGTTGTCTTCCCGGATAGGTATGTCTACTACTTCACTCTATACTGCATGGGATATCATTCTGTTCTACGGCTGACGCGAGCTTAGAATCAAGTGCGGAACCTGCAAGAAGTTTCGGTACATCGGCACTTTTTCTAACAGACAGTTGGACATCCTACGTCATGCCGTAGTGGCCAATGGAGTTTCGCCTGTTACCAGCGGAATTGCCAGATGCAGACAGTGCACCGGTCCAGGCAATACTGAATTGAAATGCTCCCAGTGTGACCGTGTCAAATCGATTGAAGAGTTCGCGAAGAACCAGCGTCAGGAGCGTGATACTGCGGTATGTTTCCCCGGTTTAGTCGCGGTGGAGTGCAGCTGGGCTAATCTCGGGACAGCGATGCATGAACTGTGTCCAGAAGCATACGGAGACTGAACCCTTGATTGATGAAATGAAGCAGATCACCGGAGGCGATGATAATACTGCTAGCTCTGTTACTGTTGGGAATCCCCCATGATCTCTACTTCTATATCATCTTTATTTTAGTTGGGATGTACTGACAAGCTCGAAGAGTCAGGCAGGCACTAGCTCTATGGCTATCTCGCTCAAGCGGCTCCAGCTGACCGGTGCTCATGAAGGATCTGGTTACAGCGATGATGAGGATGACGATGACGATTTGTCCGTTGGCGGCGGTGTCTTTCTTGAACCTGGACACACCGACGAGAACAGCAGCGCCAATAAGGGCAAAGAGAGAGTCTTCACCGGCTACGATCCTCAGGGAAACCCCCATGTACTCACTCACCGTGCGGAGGCCACCCAGTCCTACGAGAGCGAATGGTCTGTCTGGGGAGTCAAGAGCAAGGCTACCAGAAGTGAGGCCGGTCCCGCCAGAGCTACGCCGAAGAAGGAGTCCAAGTTCGCGAAGATTCCGGTAAGTGCTAATGACTTTGCATATCTACGAAGAGTCGATGTTAATGACGAGTGATCCCGCGTAGCGCACCATCTATGAGAAGGGTGAACTGCCGAGCATGGCCATTCCCGACGCCAGCGGTGCGAATATTCCTTCTGACGATGAGGAAGAAGAGAATGATCTGGACGGCTTTCTGTGAGCACGCTTGGTATCCCAGGGCAGAACTCAGGTGTAACAGTGATTGTGATCGTACTGAGTCTGAAGTTATTGGGATTATTGAGGTGACTGAAAAGCTGTGAAAACCCATATGAATTTCTTCTGTCCTCCAATTCGGGCTACTGTCTTAATTCTCTTATTCGGCTAACCAGTCTTGCTTTTCTGAGATGGTGTGACAAATGTACTGTGGCAGCCGGAAGCGATGGGTCACTGCTAGTAGGAGGCGCAATAGTGGCTGTTTTTCCAATGGTGGTCCCATTGCTGTTACTATTCGGTTGTTGTATCCTTTGTAGTGCCAATTGAAGAATATGGACGGTTCCACCTTTATCAACCATGGATGAAGCGATCTTGGTTTCTACTACAAAGTAGGCTGGTTCCCGCCCAGGAACCATAGACTGCCGACCCGCTGGATCTATACTAGTAGTGTGGTGTCTTTATATAGTGGGTTAGGGAAACATCGTGGATGATTGTAGAGCTTCGCTAGGTAGCAACTCGCCACCGATGGTCATTTCAAGAAGCCAGTTCTGTAAATTGCCATTGGCGAATGGTAATAATATTGATGAAAATAGAAGGTCACTCAAAGGCGAAATGATTCCATTCCGTCTCCCAAAAGAGATCCCCGCAGCCCCGCTGGCCATGACGTAAACGGCCATCCTGTCTTTTCTTTCCAGTGTAGACAACTCTGTCAAGTGTCAACATCTTTTTTTTTTAGTTGTCATCTGCTTTTTTCTTCTTTGTCTTTCGAATTTCTGTTTCTTTCTGCATCAGACACGCGACGACCCACTCAAGCTGTCAGTCTTCAGCTCTTTTTTCTGTTTTGTTGCCAGACCCAGCCCACTTCGCTACACACTGAGTGTATCCCGTTGGTTTCAGCATCCGTCGCCCCTCTTCCTGCCCCGTCTTTATTTTCTACTTCTTTCCCTCTGTTCTGGTGCAGACCAGTCTGTCCGTTGCCACACGATTGTCGCACCTCTGCTTCCATTTGCTTTGATATTTCTGTCCTTGACGCTCCCGGTAGCCATTTACTACACCAGCTCGTTACCTCACTCACAAGGCTGCTCTGGTGATTACCTTGCGCTCGTGATCACGCAGGGCAGACAAGACTGACCGGCGTCGTGCGCCCCGGCACCCAGCGCGATGGCTTACAACAGCTTCCCCAACAGTCCTTCTTACTCGCAGTTTGGAAGCATGAACCATGCCAATCCAGCCGAAAATGGCGCATCTTCTTACACTCCTCCGTACCCTGCACAATATGGGCCGGAGCAGGTGAATATGCCTCAGCCTCAGGTTCCTCCTACCTCCGCTTCTCCGACAGGTTACTATCCGAAACCTCCCTACGAGCCAGCTCCATGGCAGCAACAGCAGCATCAGCAGCAAGCACCACCACCACCTCCTCCTCCCGGGAGGATCAACGAGGCTGTGAATTCGGCCTTTCGCCAGGCTGACTCTCCAGCCTATCTGTCTCCAGAGGTGGTCTCTCAGATAACTGCGACGGTGATACAACAGCTGAAAGCGACGGGGTTGGACAATTTGCAAAGTGATCAACAGCCGTCACCACCACCACCGCCGCAATGGAGTCATCCAGCTACAGCCGCCATGTATGGTGAACCGTCTCATTCACCTAGGCCGCAGAATACCCCTCCACCACCGCCTAAGATTCCCCAGGGTAACCCGGAATACCAAGCACCTGTGCCGCCTGTACATCCCAGCAGCCCTCATTTATTCCCCGGACCATCCGTGGGGCAGCCGGGTGAAAGACGCGGATCGCCAACAAGCCAGAGTCAGGCCAGCGAGCATCATCAGAGCATGGAGTCCCGACCAAAGCCGCCATCAAGGGAAGCTACGGTAACTGAAATGACAACGTTGGATAAAGTATGGGGCAAGTTCTTCGAGGACGGGAAGCCAACAGAAAAGCTCAGCATGCTATTGCGCGGCATCGCAGTCCACCTTGTAAGTGCAGTCCGCAACCGGTGTGTTCTGGGGCTAACGAATCTGCTGGGTAGATCGAGAATTACCCGCCGGAGAATACTCTCGTCGTAGTTCCTGAGAAGATGAAACAGTTCTATGCAGATACAAGTGTGTCATCTGATCCATACCCTTGGGAAGGTCGGTTCTCGCGAACCTCAGTAATGGAGCGATTGTTGCTGACCTATGACTAGACATCTTTGACGACCGTACATCCCAGATCTCGAGGTTGCTGCGAAGGCTTGAAGTGGAACATCATCTCGTACAAAATAAACTCCATGAGAGGCCTGATATCCCGGGCCTGACTCCTCGTGGTTTTGCCCGCTGGGCTACTTTAATGATTCAGGCCCATCCTGAGAAAGAGTACGAGCGCTTCCAGAAGGCGCTCTTGAACATGCCCATCAACAACCCTGATAACAGGAGTGAGAGACTACCCAAGGAGTTCTCAAGGCGCTTGTTCCCTGATGCCCCAGACCTCTCATTGAGGGAAGAGATTGATCAGAAAATCATGGAGTTTTGCAACGTCGACTTGCCGCCCATTACCGAGGACGAGCTGAAAAAGGTAGCCGCACAGCGTCACAAGAAATCTGCGCACAAGGCATCAGTGAGCTCCGTCGACTCAACCCCTTCAATGGGAGAGCGTGAACGTCAACCCTACTATAGCACATCGTCTTCTGCTATTGTCGATGATGAGGACAAAGAGGTACCATCGCGGCCTATTGAACGCGAAAGGAAGCCCTACACTGCGCATCCTGGAGGTGGTAAAGTGTACGAAGATAAAGCACCCAGCCATCGCCATGCGAACTCGATGTCCGCAGGATCTGGCTCGAAAGATGGCCCGATCGAGATCGGACCCCGAATGTCGGAGACGCACCTCCACACCGGGACTTCACGTCCCACAACTACGTTCGGACGATCTCGAAGTCCGTCACGGGGTGCTCATACAGGCGGCGACTATAGGCACTCCGAAAGCGACCTGTTAGGCCATGGTAGTGGCTCTCGATATGGAGGGTTGTCGGACAATGACTACTACTACCCCTCAACTACATCTCCCCTTCCGGGAGACATCGACGACAGTCGCAAATATCACAACCTTAGCCCCGATCATGGCGATAGGCGACTATACGATGCCCTGCGGAACCGAGACAGCGAACGAGAAAAACTCAAGCGCAGCAGCTGGGGCGGCGACGAGGATTACTATCGCGCGGCCACCGGCTACGACTATAAACCGTATGGGTATAGGTGATATTGATCTGCTGACCGTGTTTGACCATTGATACTTATCGTTCTGGCGCGCTTTTTGTATGAAAAGAGATATCCGTTTATGAGTTATGACTTATGATAGCGTTCATTATCATTCTTGGCTTCTTACGTCTTATATTTAGCCACTCTGACTTTATTCCTTTTTGAACGTGTACCACGAAGTTCCCTCAGTTAATGAACCTTGGCGCCTTTTCCTCCCTTCCTCTTCTGCTATAAAATGTATAATATCACTAATACCACACCTTTCGTAATCGCACACACTTCATCCACCCCCATCCAGCCTCTTCACCCTCCTCCCCTCAATAACCCTCATAACCCTCCGCCCCTCAACCCTACAAACCTCCGCCTCCCTCTCCCTCCCCCTCTCCTCCCTCTCCCACATCTTCCAAATCCTCCTCCGATCCCTCTCCTCCCTCTCCTCCCTCTCCTCCCTCCTCCTCTTCCTCCGTCTCCCCCTCTCCTCCTCCTCATCCACACCAACACCAACACCAACACTCCCATCGCCCCCTTCCATTTCCCCCCTCAACCTCTCCACCTCCTCCCTCCCCAACCGCCACGGCACATCCAACACCTCCACCAAACACCGCGACCGCTGATCCACGAACCGCATCTCAGCGTTCGTGTCCCGCACAGGGAATACCCGCTCGAGCTGCAGCTGATTCACGCCGCGGAAGGTGGTCACTGTGCCTTTCAGGTGCGCGAGCGTCCCCGGTGTATAGGGGGTTATGTCCAGCGGGAGGGTGGTTGTGGGGGATATGTGTGTGTGCATTCCAGTTGGTGACATGGATGTGAAGGGTGTAGAAATGGCTTTCTGAACCACCACATCGAGCGTCGCACCGCTGCTATCGTCGAGCGTTAGGATCGTGAGCGTGGGTAGATCCGTTCGAGAGGTTATTATTCCTAAAAGGGAGATGTATTGGATGGGATGGTTTTTGTGGAAGTAGGTTTTGGGGTCTGCTTTTCGGTGAGTGGGTTAGATGGATGGATTAGATGTAATGGGAGGGGTTGAAGATAGAGTATTGTATGGTATGGTATTGTGCTATATGTAGCAAGATATGTATTTAAATGATAAAGAGTAGGGAAAAGGGAGTAGGATAGAGGTACCTGGAAACTCCGGCCTTCTTTTCAATCGTAGTACATCCACCGCGGCCATCTTCACCCAGGTGAAGTGGGTTGGGGACGCCTTGAAACAATACGCTGGGTAGAATTCAAGGGCGTCATGGTTGTGTGCTGTCGCCATGCCCGTGGGAGGGGGGGCATTTTCATGGTTGGAATTGGGGTTGGGGTTGGGGTTGGGTCATTGGGGTTGGGATGGGGGGTATAATAGAGAGATTGCGAGGATGAGGAGGAGAGATGGTGGTGTTTGTTGATTTGAGTAATGATGGGGGTGGTGAGGGGAAACCGGCAGTAGCTTTGTTATCTGTCACGTGGGGGATGGGGGTCATGTGGTGATAAGGGGGTATGTATGGGGATGTTCATTTATATTTCCTGTTATTTGCACTTCTTTTATCTTCTTCTTTGGGTTTGGCATTGGTTAGGTGACCTTAGTGGGTTTCTGGTTACTGTTTAACTAGAGAAGTAAGAAATACTAAGTACTAGTTCGGAGAGAGGTTATTGGTAGATATTAGAGCTAGTTGACTACTACTACTACTACTACTACACAGCTGCATCAAGAATTATATATACTATTTATTATATATTATTACTAGAAGTGAGTTTAGAATGGCGCGCTACTCCAGATGAGAAATGATAGAGATCATATATGAACATATTCAGAATAGTATAGATGAAGGATTCCTTCATAGATAGGATGGAGGTATATAGTATTATGTGGCGCAACTTCACATTGCTCCAAGCTGCAAAGATGACCGCTAAGTGGCAGCAGCATGGAAGATGAGTATGAAGAAAACTAAGGGGATGACGAATATATTGCATGAGAGTTAATGTAATGAACTAGATCAGGAATGGAAGAGAGGAAGAGCAGTTAATGTATTGAAGAGTAATTATCACCCTAACTCGTGAATAAAGCCTGACGTGCTAATTAAATCTTGCGACTGCAAGGTATAAATACAAGCACCATCCTACCTTCCTGACCAACTAGATGACTCCTTTGTGTCCATCAGCCTCTCACTGATTCCAAGAATGGCCGCTAACTCGGTGAATTCCTCATCCGCTATGACCAATGCAGGTTGTCCCCAACTTCCTAATGCCCCAGTTCGCATCTTGGCTTCAGGAAAGTGCACCGTCATTCTTACAACAGGCCGTCTTAAATTCTATTGTCCGTGCGAGAAAGGGGAGTTTCGTCTAATTTCGGTCGATCCCGACAAGAAGTGTGAGCGGTGCGAACACACTCTCAATTCTCATGAAGATGCTGTGTCGTCCGCAGTCCCTCAAAGTATTGAGCAAGGTTGGTACCTCTTTCCACCATTCCATGCTGTAGCTTATCATATAGCAGTGATGCCAGGTGAAGACGGAATTGAGACCGAATATTGCTGGATAGGTTCGATCTCATCCCCAAATACATATTCCTTGGCTGACAATGGCGATAGAGGATCTTTCGCATATATCCCTTAGACAGGACACGGTGACTGAGCTAATCAAGCTCATCGATGCCTATCCCGTTATCCTCGTTAGAGGAACTCCTGCCAGCGGCAAAACCACGTTGGCACGATTACTTCAAAGTCGTTTGCAAGTTCAAGGACGCATTGTCCCATTCTTCTACACTTGGAAACAAGACCTTGTTACATTCGACACAGAGCCATGGGTGGCACTTGCTAAGGCGCTCAAACAACGTCTTCCACGCGGTCAGGTCCCAAACCTCATGAACGATGAGATTGTTGTGATTGTGGATGAGGCCCAAGGGTCATACGATGATGATTACCTGTGGAACCATATAATAAAGTTATTGATAGACAAGCCTTGCAGATATAAACTACGCATTTGTCTCTTCTGCTACTTTGGGAGTCCATCAACGGGTGTGGAACCGCCTCAGGGTCTCAACTATTGTCCAGCCACTATACCCGAAAGACAATGCATAACACTCACGCCCCAATCGTGTAGTGATTCACCGAAAATTGGCCTCTTCTATACTGAGTCAGAGTTTGATGACGTTCTTTGCCGAATTCTCCGATACGAATTCCCCGACTTGGTAGTTACCATTGATGAAGAAGCTAAGAAATACCTGTTCTCACTTACGAATGGGCACCCCGGAGGCGTAACGGCGATGATACGGTTCGTTTGTGAGGTATGTTCCACGTTTCGCTTCTATTGGTCTTTATGATCGACTTGGTCTATGTTCGTTGTAACCTGAACGGCTAATCTTGCGGTAGACCTATCGCACCGACACGAAACATGACAGGATGTTTGCGATATCCCAGCAGTATGTTCTCAACATCCTCGACGGTGATGAGGAATCTGCTTTCAACTTCGTGGCGAAATGCGGCGTGTCTCGCTCTTTTCCTAAACTAAAAGACCTTAAAGGTCCAGTTCGCGAAATACTCTGCGAGATTACAGAGAAGGGGCATATAAATTGGGAACAGAGACCAGGGTTGGAGAAATGCTATGAAAGAGGCTGGATCCACAGGATGCATACGGGTCCAGAAGGGAACCCAGACCAGTATGAAATTGCTGTTCTGCCGTCCCGCCTGCATGAGAAGTAAGTATCGTCCTACATATCTGCTGTTGCCTCTACTAAGTAGGACCTTAGATGGCTTCAGTACCTCATTAGCCAAGATAAAAGAGCCTTGCCGTCGCGCTTCACCAACTTGACTCAGCTGTGTATGGAAATTCTACATGAGTTTTCAAAGATGAACCTGAAGCCTTCGACCACTGACAGGAAACTATCCACCGCAGCACAACCTAGACCAGCTGAAACGCAGTACCAAGATGAGTTCTACAGGGCGTTTTGTGAAGTAGCTGGCCGAGGGGTGCCAATTTCCACAGAATGGGCTAGGACGGCATCCGGAAGAGCTGATTTTTACATACCAGAGAAGAAGTGGGCTGTTGAACTGGTGAGAAATCATGATGAAATTGACGATCATGTGAAGCGGTTTCAGGGGGGAGGGCAGTACATTGAATGGCTGCAGAAGAAAGCCGTTGAAGATTGGATTATCATTAATTGCGCTACCAGTGTACCAACTTCAGGTTCGTTTCTTGTTCTGGCATTATATTGCATCTTGCTGACCACTTCATAGATCATGAAGAATGTCGACTTCTCCACGCTGTCTTTTTGAATGACTTTACGGAGTTGCAGATTCTTAATCACAAAAGGCAAGCCTTGAGCGAAGTGGCTTGTCTAACGAATTGATGGCTATGGTTACTTTGCAGACCTTATTTGGTGGTTGAGGGGGGTTACAATGGGGACAAGAGATCCGCGTCAAACTTTATTCTAGCTAGCAGCAGGTTATACTATATCATGCCTGTGGTCTGGTTAGGGAGAGTAGGCGGCACCCAACTTCATTGTCCATGGCCTGTAAAGTCATTCCTAAATTGCAGATTGTATAGACATGGGAAACTAATACTTCGTAAAACAACTGCTGCGTTACCAATGGCCACTTTGCTACCTGCAAGAAGCCGAGAGCACGGCCACAGCACTTCATTCAAATTGGAACCAAATCAATAGTACAACTATTTCCCTAAGCCAACATATATATCTTACATACTCAACCCAAATTCGATTTTATGCCTCAAAACACCCATAAACATAAACATACACATACACACATCACATATAGTACTCCATGTACCATCCATCAAAATCACTCCTCCTTCCTCCTCTCACCCCCAATCACCCAATTATTCAAAATCCCCACCCCAGCATTCAAATACGTCGCCACCCCCAACCAAGCCGCATACGGCGTCATCAACCAAAAAGCCACCCGATCATGCTTCCACCAGATATGCATCAACGCCGCCACATTCCCACTTAGAAGCAGTAGATCTGCCAACGCCCACGCCGGCTTCCGGAACATGAAGAACAGCGGCATCCAGAGGTGGTTCAACGCCAGTTGAGAGATGTATAGTGTTTGGGACTTGACGGTCCAGTCTTGGACTATTGCTGATGATGGTGATGATAGTGAAGGGGGGTATTCGCCGGCTATGGTTCCTGATACTGTTGCGTGGTGGATGGCGAAACCCATCATGCCGTAGAGGACGGTCCAGACGACGGGAAAGGCCCAGGTTGGTGGGTAGAGAGGAGGTTTTTTGAGAGAGTGGTAGGTTTGTTTGGTGCGGCCTTTGCCTGGTTTATTTTCAGTTTTTGTGCTCGAAGAAGTGGAGAGGTATGGGAAGCTCACGGTTGGTATGGTACCCGACTAGAGAACCTGTCGCGATGGGCGTCACGATGGAGACTAGGGGGTGGGCGAACATCGCCTGAGGGAGTGCAGCGGACCAGGGCATGGTTGGTTATTTCTTCAGCTTCAGCTTCGGCTTGGATTGTAGAATAGGTAAAGAGGATCTGGGGTGTGAGTGTGGAGTTGCGATGTATTTATTTGTTCGTCTGGATCGATCGATCGCGGAAGCTGGAAGTGGTCGACGTCATCCGCATCCGACCAAGGAATGTAAGTGAGGCGTGGTAGATATAACCGACTGTCTTCAGTGGGGAGATATAATATTTATATTGGGGGTGAAGACTGCTCCACTGGAAATAGTATTAACTAGGCAATAAGCCAAAGGTTGATCATGAAAGTATCTTGTTGATTTCAGTGCTTGTCAATCACTCGGTTTTCCCCGCATTTGGTGAACCACGGCGTGTGGAGAAGCTTATCACATGCAGGAGATGATATAGGGCATGTCTACATTTGATTGAAAGATGAATGAAGATCTGTGGAGCACTGCTTATGTTAGAAATATGGAGTAGTCTGGCAAAGTAATGAGTCTTGCATGTTAACACCGCAGCGCTTGGCCTTGAAGTGGTTGATAGAGCAGGTATGCAGAGCGACATCTGTGATACGTCCGTGGGCTTATGTAGGTATGCTTTCTAGGAAGCTTGCTGATGCTTTGCTAGTGCAGTATTTACAGCAGAAGTATTTCAGCATTTTGACCCTGTTGCACATTGTTCAAGGATAGTAAGAGCATAAGGGACCCAATGCAAAGCACCATGTACCTGCATTGTCTGGAAAGCTGTGCAAGCTCATGTTATCATGGAGATGGGTACTAACAAGACACCATAGTACTCTGGTCATCAGTGTTAAAATTTCACCGCAGAGTTCTAGTTGGGATAATTCCCTGCACTTGCTGGAAGATGTGCAGCTGAATAGAACCTGTATTAAGCAACTGCAGTAGACAGAGCAAACTAATACACATTGCTATGACAAAGCACATGACTATACCTGTCCAAACAGATAAAATATGAGAAGAGAACAAAGGCTAATATACAATGCTTGATGATGTCGATGTAATGCCTCTAGCTATAAAGTCTCCAGGCGATGCTCTCACCAAATCCCCAACCACTTCTTAACAGGCCGCTTGTTACCCTCCCAATCAACATACACATTCTTATCATCCTCACCCTGCTGCTCCTTCGCCACAGGAGACTGGTCATCCACAGCCACCTCCCCCTTTCCATCAGCACCAGCAGCATCCTTCTCATTAGGCTCCTCCAAACCATGAGCAACCCGATACTGCCGTCTCTTCTCAGCATCATCCACCCGTCTGCGACGCTTCTCCCTCGTCTCGATCGAGTTGTGCTGCACATGCATGCGGAACACCGAAATGGCCTGCCGAACCGTATCAATGGGGTGCGACAGCAGCGCCGACCACGGCGGCAGCAGATGAGCGAACGGCGACGAGTGCTTGAAGTTTGTGGTGAATGTAAAAGTAGCCAGGGAGGTCAGTACACCCTACACAATCACATAGAGTTAGCAAAGCACACCACAAGTACGCTGTTCATATATCATCTTGCGATTGAACAGCTAAACAAGGAGGGATGTCTCACCATCGCAATCCAAATGTGAATCCACCGGTTCGTCAAGAACTTGTGCATGACGGTCCCCTCAGGCGGGAACATGTTCGGGTACTGCCTATGCTTCTGCTCTTCCTTCTCCTTCTCGCTCAGTTTCGGCCCCGGGTAGTTGATGGGACCGCTGTTGACAACCTTCCCATTGCGGGTTTGGACGACCCGGCGCGCGGGGTGGGATGGAGGACGGAACTTGTCGGGCTTGGACAGCACGCGGGGTTTGCTGTCATCGGAGGCGCATCGCTGGGTGGTGCTGCTGGTGATGCGGTAGGTGGTTCGTCGGCTCAAGGCGCGGAGGCTGAGCGGGGAGGGAGCGCCCCGGGGGAGGAGGAATTGGGGGATTGTGACGGGCGGCATTGTGTATAGAGCAAGGTAGGTGGAGGCTGACTGGTGAGGTGCACCGCAGATGAAAGCTGGAGTTGGCTGCTGGGAAATGCCTGACCTGTTGGTGTTGCGGCGCGGGTATTTTTTTCCTGGTCTGCGGAGGATATACGGATCACGTGATGATGATTTCGTTGAGTCTACGCTGTGCTACTGCTGGAGATTGAATAAAGATTACTGTGAAAGATACCAATCACATATATTGTGTATCTGACAAATATATGGCTACTAATGAATTCTTGCTATGTGCATGTGCATGTGCTTGCAATAAACCAAGTATGCGGTTCCTGGTGCCTGTTGAGGCTGTTGTTCCCTCTGCCTCAGGCCACCTCGGGATTGTCCCCGGCGGAGCGGAACAACACGAATTCCCATGACAAGTCGGCCAAACTCGGAGGACAAATGATGGCGCGCGAATTTCCAACACCAGGGCTTTGCGGGACCAGAAACAGTTCAATTGCGGTGGCCCAACTCCGTATCTTCTCCGGGTCTTCTCCGTAGTTACCGCCCTATAATTGTGTGTGTTACGTAGGGAACTGGGCCACCATGACGGAGGCACAATTCTGGCAAGTATGAACAGAGGATGAGATCATTCGGAAGCGCTACGTCAGTCGCCGGCAGAAAAGCCGCTATATGCTCGGAAGGGATTCAGCGAGTATCATCTCCTATTGTAGAGTAGTGTAGGGACTCCCAAAAAAAAAGCATGGAGTCTCAAGCCTGGCATGCACAGGGGTCAATTGACCAGAACTCGGTCAGATCGATCTGGGTAAATGGAGACAATTCTTGGAAAACATGGAGCATGGCTCAAAAAAGACACCGGCATCTTGTCCCGGAAGCGCCCGTTGTGCTGAATCATCTCATCCCTGATTGGCCGCAATCCGGATCACGGGAGGCGTTGGGGGCAAAGGCTGGCCGCTCTTGTACAAATTGATCGCAAGTTTTTCTTCCCTCGTCCGATTTCTCTCCTCCATCGCTTCTATTTTCCCCAGGATATCCTCCGCAAGACCAATTCCTCTGTATAATACTTTTACACCTTTTAATACCCTTTAAATCCCTTCACACACATTCAAAATGGGCAAGGACGCTTCTTTCGCTCCCGGTAAGCTGACGCAGTTTTCCTTGTTTTGGCCGCTCCTTGTCTTCGGAGGCTCTTCATTCACTGGTGCTTTCAAACACTGCATTCACCCAATGCCGTGATGGTTTCCCGCTTTATGATGGCTGTTGCTGGCGCTCGAAACTTCTGCCTGCTGTGACTCGATTCATCGCGTTTGCTGTCGCGTTTGCTCTACATTTTCGCAAACCGCACGCTTTTACTCTTTAAACAACGCTGCGTCGGAAGACAAAAGTCGACTTCACAATCACAGCATAAGTCGAGCGTCACATTTGTCATCATGAGCTGGGATGCCTGTGTTCTACCTTGCTGGATCCAACGTCGCGAGGAAATGGCAGAAAGGGAAAAGAGAGAGGCCGAGGCGGCAGACAAAGCCAAACAACAGCTCGCTAACATCGACTTCGATTCAGGTGACTCCGCCAAGGGTGCCAAGCTCTTCCAGGTGAGTTGTGATCGCTCTGCGTCGCAAGTCGACATTTGCTCGGACAGAACAGTATACTAACGTCGCATCCAGACTCGTTGCGCTCAGTGCCACACCGTTGAGGCTGGTGGTCCCCACAAGGTCGGCCCCAACTTGAACGGTCTCTTCGGCCGTAAGACCGGTCAGGCCGAGGGCTACGCCTACACCGACGCCAACAAGCAGGCTGGTGTCACCTGGGATGAGAACTCTCTGGTATGCTCCGCTCACCAAATCGCATATTGTATAGAAGAATTGTGGCTAATGCTGTCTGCAGTTCTCCTACCTCGAGAACCCCAAGAAGTTCATCCCCGGTACCAAGATGGCCTTCGGTGGTCTCAAGAAGGGCAAGGAGAGGAACGACCTCATCACGTATGTGCTATCCCGAACGATCCAAAATGGCGTATTGCAGAGCGCTGACAATTGTACCTTTACAGTTACCTCAAGGAGAGCACCGCTTAAATCACCTCACCGTCATGAACCTTTCTAGAACCCGCCTGCCGAACATTGTCCGCTTATCCGCGCTGGAAACAGGCGGTGAGTCGGCAACCCGACAGTCAGGGACTGTAACATTACCACGCCCTTGTTTACCCGCGATAGACCTTTGGCGTTGCTGCGTTGGAACGATACAGATACAATAGAGTCCTGTTTCCTTCCGCGAGCGCTGTCTACATATTCCCTTCTTGTTCTCTTTTTTTAACCCTCCGTCTCCTATGTGTCCTCTACGAATGTGTTACCTTCCAGCTCTTGTGTGTATCATGGTTTTAAAAACAATTTGGTTGCTTGAGACCATAATGAATTGAAGAGATCTCCTCTCACATGACAACAAACAAAACAATATGCTTTTTTCCTACACAGTATTGCTTAAGTGATTGTTTAGACTACCTAACCAGGCCGCTTCCCTTTTCTGCCTGACGGACCGATGGCCGTGCGCTGGACCCCCGTCCCGAGTTTCAGATGTATCACGTGCAGCCCATGCTGGCCGGGGATTCGTCCTGCGCGACTCCGCGACCACGTATGTGCTGCAGAGAGGAGGGGACGGAGAAGGGGGACCCCTCGGGGGTGGGAAGTGAGTAACTCTACTACTAGTATCTACCTACGAGTCAGCGAGGAAAACAACGGTGGCCAAACTGCACCGGCAATCTGGCGGATGATCCTTGCAGGGCCGTGGAGGGCAGCTCAGGATGGTCATTGGGCCCGGCCGTTGGGCCAGTTGTCAGCCAGCCATTGATAGGTAGGTTCATGGTCCCGAGAAGGTACCGTTCCTCTAGTAAAATGACCTTAGAGCCAACCAGGTAGCTGCTCGATCGGAGGGTAAATACTACGTACCGTCCTGAAGGAGGGGGGCAGAGAGGAGGGGAAGGAAAGAGAAGAAATCAGTGTATCTTCCAAACCTTGGGGGAACTTGAACTTGAACTGAAGTGAACTTCTATCGGGCTTGATTGCGAACTACGGAAACGACCGGTACGGTGATAGGTAGGTTCGAGGAACCTTTTCGTTGGGTGGTCATGTGGTCGTGACTTAGGACGGATGGATGGATGGATGCGAGTCACGCCGATATGATGGTTGTCGAATGGTAGGTTATCTTGGTGGGCTTATAGTTTATCTAGCGGGGTGGGAAAAGAAATGCAGATAACTATCGATAAAAAGGTGCAGGAAACTGCAGTATGTCTGTCTGTTAGACTACGTGAGAGTTGTGAGGAATTTGTTCCGGATAAGAGACATGTCTCAATAATTCTGTGGAGTAGATAGTGGCCGGGGGTTAAGTCGATCTGGTGGGATGCGATGCGATGCGATCCAACGCGAAGTATAGTACTTTGTACGTAGGCAGTCACCCAGGTTGCTTGGTGAAGGAAAATGGATCGGTCTGTCGGTCAGGTCCTAGTCTGTCTGATGAAACGCAGTCACTGTGGAGTTCAGTTTGAACCCTGCGAAATCGAAAAAAGTACAAGGTAGAATGTAGTCTAGTTCGGTCAGTAGTAGAGTAACTAAGTGTTTATGCGCGAGTGAGCCTAAGCATCAGCATCGGTGATTCTGGAGGGGAGCCGATGGGCCCGATAAAGATAGATGGATACCACCAGGAGGCTTTTTCTTTTCTTTTTCTTCCCTCCACCAGATGGAATGTTCCTAATTTTCCACAGGAACGAGATCCATGAACCAAGGCACGTTCCCTTGTTTTACGAGGACAATTCTTTTGAAGAAATATAGGAATGTTGCGACGGGAGGTTAAAGAGTAAAAAAGGACATTGTCGACTGGGAGCGACCGGGAGAGAGGAAAGTCTAGACAGAGAGGACAGACAGACTGGAGGCTACGATGGGCCTGTAGGGATGAGCATCCCATGATCCCACCTGACCCGTGGCGCAGCGATTCTGATTGGACCAGCCACCTAGCGGGGCCCCTCCATGGGTCGCTCTTTCCTTTTGATTGAAATAAAAACCCCAGCCGTGGAAGGCATGCGAGGGGCGGGCCGGTATTATCCTGTACCTTCTTGTACTTCCTGTACCTGAAGACTCCCATCTATTACCATCTATCTCCCATCAAATACATCAATCCATTCCTATATAAACTACCACCCGTATTATCATTATTGTCTCATCCCTACTATCTAAACTAACGGCGCAAAACAGCTGCTCCAATAAATCTCCTTCCCCCCTTCGAGGTGACCCCTCGTGTGGGTGTGTGTCCTCTGCAAGCGCCTCTTGTAACCCGTCGTGACTTGTCGCATTCCCGTTAGTCCGCTGGTCATTTCATGACATACAGACAGACCAGGCAGACAGACAGACAGAAGAGTGCAAGCAAGAAAGAAAACTGGTTTAGCCAAACAGATCATCTCTTCTCGTCTGCATTCTGACTGATTCGACGGACTGGACCATCTTTCGTCTTGCTCTATCTACCTCCCCACTTCTCCCCCAGTTCTGTTTCGTCGGGCCGGCCTGATCGCTCGCCGTTGCTGGCCATTCCTCAGGCACTCAGGCTTTCCCCCCCCCCGGGTTCTCGTCCCGCGTATCTTCTACTACTACTACTACTACATTGCTACCCTCCCACCCATCATTCAACCTTCCCATGTCTTGCTCTCCCTCCTCCCTGCTCTCTCTTGGATTCACTCGCAGGGACATCTATAACCATATCCGCTGTAATCTTGACCCCTTTTTCTACCCTTCACCCCTGTCATCATCCATTCCTTCCCCTTCTCTCCCTTGGCGCATAGCTTCTATTCTCCCTTCCTTAACCGGATCTTAGCGCGCCCGCAACTAACCCTCGTTCTTCTATCACCTTGATAGCACCCACCCTCTGAAGTTATTGTCTATTGCTGCGCAAGTCGTTCACGACGTCGCAGCGATCAAAAGTGGCCTTGACTTCTTTGGTGTTGCAGTGCGCAACGCCGTCTATCATGCTAGACGAGCTGGAAAGCGCCTTCGACGAACATCCTTCATTGGATGCGTCGCTCGAGGACTTCGAGAGCAATAGTAACGCTCGTCAATCCCCCGTTTTCGGTTTGCCTTCCCAGCATTCGGGCTTTCGCTCTGAGGAATCGGATGGGGAGGATGACGACCTCACGCCTAACGGAGATCGCTGGTCGCCTCCGGGCTTACGCAGGTATGACTATGTACAAGGAAGTGGTTGGTATCGCCATCAGCCCTACGTGCGCAATCCCGATTACGACCGTTTCTGCCTCAAGCCCTCGGTCGGACTGAGCCCGTCGCAATCGCGCGAGCCTAGTCCGCAGTATGAGGATGCGCTGGAGGCGCCGACCGCAGGGAAACGCAGCCAGTCCGCAGAGACAGCTGACATCACCATAGCCGCCAATGTCCCCCTGCCAGCCGACGCAGAGACCCCAGAGAAAGGTCGCTCGCCGAGCCCGGGACCCAAAGGTGCAAGAGCTAGCCCGGATGGCGAGGGTCTGGACTTTGGGTCGGGGAATAACCTCAGCAATTGTAGGCTTCACCTTGGTTTGCTACCCTTTGCAGCTTCCTGGCCGGAATGAACTAATTCATGACGCCTCAAAGATATCCGGTTCGCTGTGCGCGCGGAAGTTCAGCACCGTGAGCCCTTTGTCGCATTCTTTAGTTACTTGCGGTCCAAACTCGATAAGATCACTAGCTCCAAATCCAACGCAATTCTTTCTGTAATCGTTGCTTTCATATCGATCGCGTTCATGCGCGCCTTATTCCTACCCAGCGTTCCCGAAGCGATACCCGATCTGGTCAAGCTGTCAGGGTTTGCGCGCTCGTTCGAGCCCCTCATCTATTATTCGGAGAATGGCGCGCATCAAATAACCGCCTTGCAGGAGACTGGGGTGGCTGTCTGGGACCTCGGAGAATCGGTGCGCGGGACCAATATGACCAGCGCGCCGATCATTGTCCGCCAACTGGACGAACTCTCCGAGTCGCTGAAGTCGCTCTCTCTGGAGCTGGCGCGCTTCTTCTCCGATGTTGAGGGGGACATTGACTCCATCCTGCTCGCCATGGACTGGGCCAAGCGTGAACTAGAGGCCTTATCGTCGCAACCGCCCAGTACGTTACCGTCGGTCGTCTTCGATAACCTCCACGGGATCTTTGCGCGACTGGGGGCGTTGGAGCGACTTAGCGCCGCGAGTGGGGAAGGGTCCAGCACTGAACTGACCAGCACCCCAACCACCTTTGGCAACTTCGTCACCGCGGTCTTCGGCCAAACCTCTGCCCAGCGTACCCGCACAACCCTCACTCGGACCTTTACCGAAATGCTCTCCGTACTAGAAGAGGCGATCAACAACGAGCTGACGCACTCAACGGCGCTGTTCGCGCTCTTTGAAGCGATCGACCGCCAATTTCTGAATCTTCAACGGACTGTAGTCCGCGAGTCGGATGTACAAGAACGCGAAGAGGGCGAGATGCTGGAGTCGCTGTGGACTAGGCTTATGGGAGCCAATGCTGCTGCGATTCGCAAATACGAAAAGAACAAGCGGCTGCTCGCCAATGTCCGTAGTCGCACTGTCACTAACAAGCACCTATTGGTGGACCACCGCGGCCGTCTACTAACCCTCAAGGTCAATCTGGAAACCCTGCGGCGCAAACTTGTCAGTCCGCTAGTTCGACGCAACGACTCGATGAGCTTCACGGGCATCGAGTCCAGTAGTCGTAGCAACGGTCGCATGCTGGGCCATGTTGAGGCTGTGATTGACGGACAAATCCGAGGACTCGAAGGCAGCTATGATTACCTCAAATCTGTGCGAGACAAACAGAAAGCCAAGACTCTGGAGTTTTACTACGGGTTCGGGCGGCGCTTGCCGCAGAACCCAGTATTAGCCGACGGGTCGGACGATCTGGGGACGGACGCGATTGACGGGGTGTGATGCAACAGAGTCGAGAGATCTTGCATGCATAGGCAGGCGTTCCTTGTCTTTCTGCTCCTTCTTTTGTCTCTGTACCTGCATCACGTGGACATGGCGTTGTCGATCTGATCCATTCGGAAACATTTGGTCTTGTGTGCTGTGCACATGGTGGGCGTTCATCTACAGGTCCCCTTTCTTCGGTTACTTACATCTCACTTCTCTCTCCTCGCATCGCTCTGGCTAGCTGGCGTACACTGGCGTCCATTGCGCTACAGATTTCCATTGGTTCTGGCCAGCCCTATCTTCTGTCTTCTCTCAGCTCACCTCATCTCCACCTTCATCTCCCTCTACCTCAGTGACACGATTTGTAGGGCTTTTTCATGTTGTTTGGCATCATGTCCAAAAGCGGGAAGGGAAAATCATAGACAAGATTTGATTTGATTCATTGCAATCTACCTGCTGCAACCTCGCATCTC